GGTCTCAAAGGAAATGGGGGCCCAGGCCAAGAGAACTCTTGGCCGGGGGATGGACTTTGGCTCCTACTCTGAGTAAGATGGGAGCCATGGCAGAGTCTGGGGCAAAGGAATGGCATGGCCTGGCTCACATTCTTAAAGAGCACCTGGGCGTCTATGCTGAGAGCTGACTAGAAACAGGGAGACCAAGGGCTGGTCCAGGTAAGACATGGTGGTGATTTGGAGCAGCAGGGGAGGCAGTGAGACTGTTCCAGAGTCTGGATATGCGTCAGAGGTAGAGCCAGTAGGCCTTGCTGATAAATTAGAGCTGGATATGAGAGAAAAAGAGACAGGACTCTGAAACCCTTCCATAGTGCTTTGCCTGAGCAACTGGAATGGAGGAGCTGACTTTTACTACGAGATGGAGAAGCTTGAACGTGGGAGGGGTTTGGGGTGGAAGGACAGAGTTCAGGATTGGTCGTGTTAATTTTGAGATGTCTGAGTGAAGGTGGGGAAGTAGGCAGTTGGACATTTGAATCTGGAACTTAAAGGTCTGAATCAAAAATATAATTTAGAAAATTATTGGCATGTAACAGTAGATAATATTTAAAGCCATCACCAAGGGAGTGAGATGGAAAAAGAAGGGATCTAGGGACTGAGGCCTGAGGTCCAAGCAGTGTGAGTACAGGCATACCTCAGAGAGACTGTGGTTCAGTTCCAGGCTACTGCAGCAAAAGGAATATTGCAGTCAAGTGTATCAAATGAATGTTTGCCCAGCATGTATAAGAGTATGTTTATACTATACTGGAGTCTATTAAATGTACAATAGCATTATGTCTACAAAACCAATATGCATACCTTAAGTTAAAAGATGCTTCATTGCTAAAGGTGCTAACCATCATCTGAGCTTTCAGTGAGTAGTAATCCTTTTGCTGGGGGAGGGTCTTGCCTCGATGTCAATGGCCACTGACTGATCAGGGTGGTGGATGCTGAAGGTTGGGATGGCTGTGGCAATTTCTTAAAATAAGACAACAGTGAACTTTGCCATGTCAATTGCCTGTTCCTTTCATAAATGATTTCTCGGTAGCAC